GCGCTGCCTCTGCCAGGGGCCGGGCGGGCCGGGCGGGAGCAGGTCTGTTTCTCACACTTGGCTCTTGTGTGTCTCGTTGCAGGAAATTAAAATGCATGACAGATAGCGAGTCCGTCCCGCCCGACTGGCCCTATTACCTAGCCATTGATAGGATTCTGGCCAAGGCCCCGGAGTCCTGTGATGGGAAACTGCCGGACGGCCAGCAGCCGGGGCCCTCCACGTCCCAGACCGAGGAGTCCCTGTCGCCGTCGGCTAAGTCCACCCCTCTGTACTTACCGTATAACCGGTGCTCCTACGAAGGCCGCTTCCAGGACGATGGCTCCGACAGCTCCTCCAGCTTACTGTCCCTTAAGCGCAGGTAGTGTGCGTGCCCTCCTCCTGCCCCCACCACAGGAGGGCTGTGAGCGGCCAGGGGACATTGGGGCTGGGTTTTCAAGGGTGAATAGGAGTTGGCCAGTGGAGAAAGAGAACAGGAAGTGTTCTCTCACTGGCGGGCTGTAGAGGGAGGCGGCCATGAGCGCCTCCAGGGACAGGGCGGCCTCAGAGGGAGGCTCCGCAGGGAGGCAGCGGTCCCTGCGCCGGCGTGGCGGTCCTGGCACAGGCTGGGGTGTCCCCGGCTGCGTCACTTTGAGCTGTGTGGAAAGTTCGTGACCTCTCTGGGCCTCCGTGTCCTCTGTAAACGGGGTGGATCAGTGGCTTCTCGGAGGGTGGCTGCGAGTGTCAGGGGAGGACACACTCGGGCGCAGGGCCCGGCACATGGAGGAGCGCCCAGTGCCCCCATCTGTGCACCCGCCCTGCCTGCCCCTCAGCCTCTGCTTCTGGGTCCCCCTGACCCCCAAGCGGGCCCTGCCCTGGGGTCCCCTTCACATCAGGAGAGGGGTGGGCTGAGCCTCCAGTGTCCTCATAACCTGGCTGCGTGGGGACGCCCACCCCCTCTGCTGTCTGTCACATGACCCGCCATTGGGATGTCACAGCCGGCCACGCAGGAGACTCACCCCTGTGGTGTGGGGGCGGGAGAGCAGAGGAGGGGACATTTGGGATGGGCTTTCAAGGGTGAATAGGAGTTGGCCAGTTGGAAATGAGGACCGGAAGTCTGGATTGGAGCCACGGCCCTGACTCTCCTGAGCCCCAGTGTTCGAGTCTGCCATTCGGGGGGGTGAGGGCGGCATCTGGGGGCCTTCGATTCTGACACCCCCGGGGTTGGAGCGCCTGTTCCGTTCGTCTGTGCCCCTTCCTGGCGGGGATTTCTCAGCAAAGACCCCGGACAGAAATGCTTTTGCCGACAGCCAGGCGAGTCGGCAGGGAAGCCTGAGCCCGGCCAGTTGTCCCTGTGGACTGAGCCGTTCCCAGACGCCGGCGGCCGCAGGGGTTGCTCCCCGGCTGGGATGTGGGACCCAGAGCTCCACCCTCCGCCCCTGAGGTTGGCTGGGTCACTGTTCTACTCAGAAGCTTGGGGGTGGGCAGGCCTGAGGGTCTGGTGGGATTGGGCAGCTCCCTGCCCACAGTGGGGGTCGTTCAACCAGAGGTGCCCCACCCCTCAGCAGAGAGCTCCCGGCCTGTGCTGCCTTCACCCCTGCCCACCAGGGGTTCCTCCCAGCCCCCACCCCCACCCCAGGCGCCTGCCCTCCTGCCTCCCCCCGCCAGGCGCCTGCCCTCCTGCCTCCCCACCCAGGTCCAGGTGGCTGGGACATGGAGGGGCCCAGGACGCCACCAGCCCCCCAGCTCAGTGCATTTGGGGGTGTCCTCTGGCAGGGTGTTCCCCGCCCTCCCAGACTCGGGACTTGGGTGTCCTGTGACCGGGCCGTGGGGTCCCTGTGGACGGCAGTGCCCATGGCCCCGTGACCCATTCACCGTCCTGGACGCTGAGTGGGTCCCCAGGAGGGTCGGGGGCCA